CCCAAAAAAGAAAAAAGGAAGAAAAAATGTAAACTAAAATGAAAAAAGAACTTCTATGATGCTGCATAGATCAAGAACGGCTGAAGCGATACATATGCTAGATTCAGATTGATAAATCCATATTTACTAATTATGTGAGTAACGACTTAAGTATGATCAGCTAATTAAAGTCCTCTATATAAATAATTTTACAGATAATGAAGTATGGTCAGATAAATACCTGTTGTGACTTTCCAATGTCTTTTAGTGCTAACTGCTTATCATAACAAGCAGACTAAGAGATAAAAGTAGTTAAAATTAAACAGAATTCAAGAGATGAATACACACTTCAGCTTATAAAGTATTCACTCAAACCTGGTCATCATCTTTCCTCATTTTTTTGTTATTCTTTATTCTTTTTCTCTCTAACTCTCTCATGCGAATCCCGACAAAATTTAGCAATTGATCTGACGATTCTACCCAGGTGCAAAAGTTCAAGGAAGCTAAAAATAGAAAACTGCAAGATTTACTTATAAACATCACTCAGTAACTAACATGGAAGCGGTCTCTTGGGAACTCCGTTCAAAACCTGAAGCAACTAAGGGGAACATTCCAGTTTAAAGAATAACACAATTGCACATTCAGTTGAACTGATATGGATGCAAAGTTGCAAACATACAACACTTAAAAATAAAGCCATATGCAAAGAGAGTGGATAGTCGACAAAAAGAACCATAACCAGAATCAATATTAATTGCACTTTCACTTTGCATGCGTGGGAATTAAATATTATGAAATAAAATAATAGATCATAACAATAATCTGAAACAAAATGAAAAGAATGGTTTTCATGAGGACCATCCTCGTTACCCTACTAATATAAATATTAATATATACATATCTTTGAGGTCCCGTTTAGGTCATGGTCTTAAAATCCGCAAATCTCTGTTAATCTAGCAAGCTCAGTGATTAGGGTTAAACTTGTCAAAACGAGTAATTAAAAGTCACGCTATCGAGCAATTTTTCACAATTTTATAATCGAAACATGTTTAAATAATAACATTCAAGTGCCAAAAAAACACAGTCAAAGTGGCGAGATATTAGAACGAAACCAAAAATAAGATCATTCAAATAATGATACTATTACATATAAAAAGAATATCTAAGATGTGTTAGGGAAAGGGCATATACGCCGGAGAAATGATAATTCCGGACCAGAATCTGACAGAAAGAGTGGTGAGCACGCAAAAGAAATGGTATACACTTATACTATCTGCCTCTGAGTGCTCACTCTCTTCTGTCAGTTTTCATTTGTACTCAGAATATCATGTACAAGCAAATAGATACCTAAGTTAACTACCCAAAATGGTAAAAATATATGTACATAGCATAATAATGAAGATGTATCAGATCTGAAAATACCAAGTGCCACACATATGCAAAAGGACATCCAAATCCATTATCTAGAAACGTGCTTGAAATAATAGATCCATGCTATATCTCCAGCTATATATACGATTTAGGGTTTGTGGACCAACTAGAAAAATAAGGCCAAAGAGTAAAAGGCGACGCAAATTCAAACAATACACTTCTTTTTCTCTCTTTTACATGCAGGTACTAGTGACACAGACAGAGATTTGTAACTTGCTGCAGGTATTTACACAGAGCCAAGAATCAAAACAAGGTTCTTCTTTGTACCTGCTCATGTGTGTGTGTTGTGTAAAAAAGAGAGAAAGAGGGTGATTTCAATTGCTAAACGGCGTTCGGTTTTGTTATGATTAGGGTTTCTATAATAAAGGCTGGAAGCAGTCACGTTGAAAAAAGTTACACGATGAATTTGGGTACAGCGAATTCCTGTTTGAACCGTTAGATTTGGGGTTTAGTTGTTGCTTGGGAATTGAGTTGATGGGACTGCGTCTATTGGGGAGACCATTTTTTCTTCTCTGCTAATTCCGCTAGATCTCGATATACGCCACTTTATTATTCCCATGTTCAGTCTCGCTTTTTAATTTGAGAAAATTGCACTTGAGCTCTCAATCTCTTGATCAAGTTGTAACCTTATTTCTAACTTAAACAAAGAGTAAGTTCGTAGTAACATTTCAAAATTGGTGCTTCGTTAATTCCACATGACAATTTGACAAAGAATGAAAATGAAGGATTTCTGTATACTCTTATTGATAATACTGCAGTCAATTTACACTATACAACTTTACAGAATCTATAAATGTGAAAACAAATATATCAAATCAAGAAGATGATCCATATCAAATCCATCAGGGTAAAAAACCTACTATTACAGAATTGAATTGAGACCACATTAGAATTATTATTAGGTTAATACAAATATTTTTGGTATCCTCCCCTCAAGATGAGTTAATTGTTCTAATGATCACTAAACTTAGGTTTATATCTTTGATTGGTCACTGAGTTTAAAATGTCGAGTTTTAGTCACTGAATTTAGATTCATATCTTCGATTGCTCATTGAACTTAAGTTCATGTCTTAGATTGCTTACTGAAGTTTAAAATGTCAAGTTTTGGCCACTGAATTTTGGAATATGCCGTACGTTACTCATTAGCATAACTGTTGAATTTTGAAAAATATCAAGTTTACAGTGAGCAATATACTGCATTTTTCAAAATTCAGTGAGTAATATACAATATTTTTCAAAGTTCAATGAGGAATGTAGAACATTTTTAAAGTTTAGTAGTCAAAACTCGACATTTTAAATTTCGGTGAGTAATCGAAGACATGAACCTAAGTTTAGTGACCAAAACTCGACTTTTAAACTTCATTGACCAATAAAAAATATGGACCTAAGTTTAGTGACCATTGGAATAATTAACTCCCTCAAGATGGTGTGTGAACATCTCAAACACCCATGTCTGATAGCAAGCAATGAAAAAGATATGTACCAATTGATCTGGTTAAAAATGTCAACCAATTGTTGTTGTGAATGAGGTAGAAATAATTTTACTTTGAATTTTTTTGGCCAACTAACTGACAAATGTTTAGTTAGCTCGTGAAAAATGGGATTAGCAGCAAAGTGTAGCACTACCTTATTATCACCGTTCGCTTAATTCTGCAAATGTATGGATTGTAACGAATAATGAAGTGCATTATAAATCGGAATATCGAAACCAAATGAAATAATTATTTACCACAAATTTTTATATTAAATCTAACTTCAATTTCAAGTAATGTCGTAATCAATTAATGAATCAAGAATTTAAATTTTAACTAAAACTATTCTAAGCCCGTGGTCGATTCATCTATAAAATTAAATTTTAATTTAAGTTAGAGTCAAAATTTAATTTTAACCTACACATTTAATATGATACACAACTTTTCAGTCACATATTCAGCTCCCGTTTGGCCCCCATTCTCATTCATTTTCTTTCTCTTATTTTCAACCACACAATCTTCCATAAAATATTATTACACACAAATCAAAAACTTTTAATTCTTTTTCAACCACATATTTTTCAAAATAACATTATTCCAACAACTAAAATTTGGAAAGAATGGGGCCAAACAGGGGCTCAATCAACATTTATCAA